GGGGGGGCTGTGTGGGGAGGGGAACGTGTGTATGTCGGGGTGCAGGGGTGAAAGGTCAGCTCCTAGATGAGGTGGGTCAAGGGCTGTGTGCACACCCCTGCCCCTCCCACACCCCTCTGCACACCATCCTACCTGGCCCCGGTCTGCGGTCCCCCCTCTCTGGCCTGGGGCTCGCGGCCTCGCAGTGCGGCGCCTGCTCCGTCTTGGGCGCCGGGCTCTTGGCGCCCACCTGCAGCTGCCTGGCGTACTTCTCGTGCTGTGGGCAGCGGCCAGGGTGAGGGCCGGGGGCTGCCTTGGAAGGACGCCCCCGCCCAGGGCACCTGCATGGCCTCTCCTCCGCCCCCCTCAAAACCTCCGCGGAGCACACAGCCTAAGACCTGCCCGTGTCACGAGGCTCGGTGCTGGGGGGCCGCACCCAAGGCTGGGGGCATACTCAGGTCCACAAGCTTCCAGGAGGGAGTGGACAGCAGCCGTCAGAGGGGAGACTGCCACCCACAGGCCCCTCCAGAGAGGGGGTGGGACAGCCCTCAGGAGCAGTGGGAGGTGGGGAGCAGCAGCCTGTCTGTGCGTGCGCGTGTGTGCGTGTGCGTGCGCACTTGTGCGTGCCGGGCCCCACCTGGCTGAGCTCGGCGGTCATCGGCTCTGTCCCTCACTGGCTGTGTGACTCTAGGCAGGCCACCCACGCTCCCTGTGCTGCCCATGGTTACTTTGGAAAGTGGGACTAAGCCTCCCCCCCAACCCCCCGCCATGGGGCTCCTCGGTGAGGCTCTGGCCAGGGTCCCCTGAGTCTGCTCCATGACGCCTGCACAACTGAGCAAGGGGAAAGGAGAGGCTCCACCTGCGGTGAGCGACACTGGGACCTTCGAGCCCCAGCTGAAGGAAGGGTGCTCGAGGGTGCCCCTCATCAAGGACCTCCCACGAGGCTGTCCCCAAAGGCTGCCCCCCTGCTAGCCTCCGGCCTGCTCCTGGCCGCCTCCACCCGTGGTAGCCTGATCAGGGTCCTCCCGGTACCCAAGATGCCGGGTGGGCCGGCCCGCCCGCCCTCCCGCCCTCCCTCCCATACCCAAGATGCCGTGTGGGCCCTCCCTCCCTCCCTCCCACTCACCCACCCACCCCACCACCCCCTCCTGCTGGGCAAAGCGGCCTCCTCTGGGGCTCCAGCCACACCCGCCGTCTGTGACTGCATCAGCTGGGGGTGGGGCGGGGCGGGTCGCATGACTATCTTCCCCACCTGCCCTACTGGGCCATCCGGCAGGGCAGGCCAAACCAGGCTGATGCACAGCGGCCCAGAGGCCTAGGGGAGATGGGCAGTGGGAAGCGGAGGGCTGTGGGGACACAGGGATGCAGGGGCCCCAGGCCAAGCACCAGCACTGACCCTGAGCGCCTCCTCAGGGACGCGGTGCTGCACCCGCTCCAGCACGTACATGTTGGAATGTGACAGCGCGTTAAGGAGAACAGGATGCAGGAAGGGGGCGGGGCCCCCGGACCCAGGTGTGGTGGATGAAGAGGGAAGGCGGGCTGGGCGGAGCACCAGTGCAGATGCCTGCAAACTTCCCCCGACATGTGTGCACTGGCCCCTGGCCATGCGTCCACACTGCAGGGACAGCCCACAGGCCATGTTGTCCCTGGTCAGGGGACAGGACAGAGGCTGCTCCAGGCCACTGCACTCACGTGCCCTAGGTCCCTGGGGATGCTCTCCACCCCACTTTCAGCCCAGGAGCCCAGCGGGGCCCCAGAGGCCATGCCACATGCATCCAGCTGCAGCTCCCGTCCCAGACCACCCCTCATCCCCCGGCCTCCCGAGGCTTCAGGGGTGGGGAGGGCCTGAGCCAGCCGCTGGGTCCACACCCACCAGCGGGTGTGCCCAGGCGAATGCGGACGGAGAGGATGCACTCCTGCCACACGTACGGGTCCCCGGCTGCCCAGGGCGGAGGCATGGCCCCCACTCACCCACGTCACGAGGACAGAAAGCCGTGCCTGGGCGGCCCCCAGAAACACCAGGACTCCGGGTCCCGGGAAAGTTCTCCCGTTCCTTGGGCCCTGTGTGAGCTCAGCCCCGAGGGCGGGCAGAAGGTGTCCATGGCTGGGGCCTTGGCTGGGGGGCAGGCGGCAGCAGGGGCTGGAGCTCAGGGCGGAGCCTAGCCCGGGCTTCACTCTCCTGTCTCTAACCCCCCGAGGCCCCCACCCACTTCCAGCATAACAGGGCGACTGAGGTCCTGGGGACAGAGGGGGAGGCCAGGAGGGGTGAGCGCCCCCAGAAGGATATCGTAGCCGAATCGGATGACATCGTTGAGCTTCAGCGTAACGTATTTCTGGTCCGGGATGCGCACGTCGTTCACGAATGTCTGCGGAGTAGGCAGGTGGCGGAGATGAGCCGGGGCAGGCAGGCTGACGACTCTGGAGGCCCCGGAAGTGGACCACCAAGCCCTCCTGTGCTGCTCTGGGCCCAGCACCATCCTCCCAGCACGGGTGCACCAGCCTCACACCCCAATGGGACCACAGGATAGACGGCCGCAGGACTGGCCGAGGGGGCCGAGGCGCCAGACCCCACCCAGCACCCAGGGACCCTGACACAGCCCCTCAAGCACAGAACCCACGGACACCCCTGTGAGACGGCCCCTTCTCTCATCCACACAGAGCATCGTGCTGGCCCCAGCCCCCAAAGCCCCTGGGAGCGGCGAGGCACACCCACAGGGTGGCCCCAGGGCAAGGCCAGTCAGACTGTACAGCCCATTCAGGCAATGGGATGCCGAGGGAGGAGGGGCTCAGGGGGCAGAGACCCCAGCAGAGCCTGAGACCCTCGGCTGGGGGCACTCTGAGGGGGACCGGGGGGGTGGCACCCAGCACTTGCTGGAGTGCTCACATGGCAGGGGCAGAGCCAGCCTGAGGCTGCCGTGGGACCCCCAGCTCAGGACGCAGGGGGCCAGACTTCACAGGCTGGGAGGGAGGGGGGAAGGGCCCTCCTCAGCTGGTATAAGGGGGTGGAGGCTGGTGGTTTGTTTTCTTACTGAAACAGCCTCCCAGGCCAGGAGACCAAACACAGAAAGAACAAGGCACCCAGACAGGTGTTGGACCCTGGAGAGAGCCCCACTCCGTCCCTCCGGCCCTCCCGCCCTGCCTCCACCTGAACCCCTCTCTGCTCCTGCAGCCAGGAACTTCCTCTTGGTCACCTCCTCGTCCCTGCTGCCCCCAACTCACAGAAGAGCTCACATATACCCCTTAGGAAATGGTACCCCAGCACAGCCCCATCCTCACAGGAGCCCCATTTCCCAGCCTGCAGGAGGTCCCATTGCCTCCCCTGCCCACCTGAGGGCCCACTTCCCTCCTCACCCAGCAGGCAGCCCCAGAGGCCCTACCCAGTGGGAGCCCTCCCAAGGAGGCCGCCAGAGCAGCAGGTCCCGGTGGGAGCCAGGTGGGGCTGTGATGAGGGGGCAGAGCCAGGGTGAGGATGGAGCTGGGGCGGTGCCAGCACTGAGGGAGGGGTCATGAAGGGGGTGGGGTCGTCACAGGGGGAGGGCCATGGAGGGGGTGGAGCCATGGGGGGGGCCCAGCCAGAGTGGGGAACCAATGCAGAGGCGTGTGGCCATGAGGGGGCGGTGCCAACACTGTGGGAGGGGTCGTGGAGGGGTGAGGCCAGCACAGCGGGTGGGTCCTGGAGAGGGGCAGGGGGGGGGGCCACGATGCGGGGTGGAGCCAGGGTGTGGGTGAAACTGGGCTGGGAAGAGGGGTGGGGCCAGCACAAAGGCCCTGCACTCACCCCATTGAGGCTGCCCAGGTCCTTGACCCAGTGCTCGTCCCTGTCTCGGTCGTAGTTGATGACAGCGTGCTGCTTGTCCACACTGCGGGACTGGGGAGACACACAAACCCTCGGGTGGCCGACCGGGCCAGGCGGCCCAGGAGGTAGAGGCACCCTACAGGAGGCCCCGCTCTCCACTCTCAAACCCTCCCCCACCCGACCACAAAACCACCACCAGGCCCCTGGCCACGCAGCTCACGAGGTCCCACCCACGCCTCCACACCTCAAGTGTGTGTGCCCCAGAAGGCCCACCCAGGCCTGACCCGGCCAGCCGTCCTGGCCACGGAGCAGGCCGCGGGATTCCTCCTGCCCCAGCCCTCCACGGCACCAGGAGGCCAGCGACCCCCTGCCATCCCAGCCACTGCTCCTGGGTCAGCGTGGCAGGGGCTGGAAATGCTCGGAAGATCTGGGACACGCTGTTCACTCCCAAGGGCAGGCCAGGCTGGACGGGGGCGGCAGGATCAAAGGGCTGTGGATGCTCAGGGGGAGCCCTACCCGGCCCAGCCTGGCCCACAGCGCACACCTCTCAGAGTGACGGACACGCGCACACACGCGTGACGTGCCTCAGACCCCACTGCCTTCTGCTCGCGTGCACAGGGCTCACATCCTGAGCACACCCTGCCACTCAGATGCCACACGCATGTGAACACATGCAGGTAGCTCCGACCTGAGCACTTCCAGCTCTGCCCTGGCCACCAGCCGACCCAGGAGCCCTTCCCAAGGACAGTCACCCAGCTCCCTCACACAGTCAAGCTGGAGGGCCACAGCCCCTCCACTCCAGGGACAGAGAGGCAGGGACAGGGCCACAGGGTCACATTCTGCTGGATCAGGCCCGCCAGCACGAACCGCCTTGCCCAGCCAGGGGTCGGGCAGTCTTGACACAGAGCGCATCACCACCGCCCAGCCCACTGCCCACACCTCACTGCTGGAGGCCCCGTGTGTCTGGGTGGCAGCTGCATCCCTCCCCCACCACTTGAGGAGCCCAGGCCTGGGGCAGCCCCAGGAAACACCGGCAGGACCGGCCAACCGTGGGGTGCTGGGGCCCAGCCCTCGGCAGATGACAGTACCTGCCTGGCAGGGCTCCCACAAGATACCCAAGACCCCCACTTCCAGAGCATGTCACGGGAGCGACGAGACTCACACACTCGCTCCCCACCGCCTGGGACAGGATGGCTTGGCCCTTGAGAGGGTGACCCAGCACCTGAGTCCCTGCATCACCACCCTCCAGGCTTCTCAGTTCTCACAGGTGAGTGCCCAGACCCCTTCCCCCAGCCAGCGGCCACCTCCACGGAGCCACTTTCTCTCTGATTCTCTCCACCTACCCAGCGCCCGCCCCCCCAACACCATCCAGAAATGGCCAGTTTCCGGGGCGGTGGGGGGGGCAATACCCTCCCCCGAGGACTGGAGCTCCCAGGGCTAGGCCTCCCTCACCCAGAGACAGGAGCACACAGCAGGGTGGGGTGGACATGGGCTCTGGCCCAGCCCCGCTCCCACCCAAGGTCACGCCACTTGGCCGAGGTGCCAGGGCAGGACTTGGCAAGCAGACTGCAGCAGGCAGGCCTGTGAGGGCTCCAGCCTCTCCTGGGCTCAGAGGCCTGAGGTGGCTGGCTTAATGCACAGTGATGCTGCTGCAGCGGGGGCCCGGCAGGGGCTTGCAGGCCCACACCTCATGCTGCCACGGACCCTGGGTCCTCCAGAAGGGAGCAGGGGTGCAGGGTAGATTTCAAGGGGGACGCAGAGTCTGTGGGGCCAGCCCGGAGCCGTCTGCCCCAGCGCCACCCCCGTGAGCCAGGGGAAGCACGGACCTCCCTCCCCGGGAAGACCCCAGGGCTGATCCTGGCGGGGCTCCAGTGCCAACTCACCTGCCTCCCAAAGTAACGGGTCTCTGGCGAGGTGAGTCTGACCTTGAGACCCCCTGCCCCACGCCCCCGGCCTCATCTCTTCCCCACTCCCGAATTCCTCAAAGTCGGCACCCACAGCTAGACAGCTCCGGGCCACCCTTGCCGCAGCCTGTGCCCGGGACGTGGGCACCACCTCCTCCACTGGACTCCCCCGCTGGTCTCCGAGCCAGCCCTTCCCACTGTCCTGGCCCAGGCAGGGTGGGGCAGGGCACGTGGGGGGCCCCACACGCCCTCCTCTGGGCCTCGGTCTCCCGGCTGCAGGTGCTGGCAGAGCTTCCCCAAGACCCAGGACCCAGGCCCCGGGCGGCCTAGACAAGGATCAGCAGCTGTCCCAGGGCCTTGCGTGCTTGGGCTCGCCCCACCTCAGGCCAGGGAGCTGCCCCTCTGGGTGGCCCCGTGGGTCAGGCATTCCTTAGAGTCCAGCCTGGCAGCTGGGAGGCCTGGGGCTCACTGAGGGGCTGGGGACTCCCGTCCTCCTGCGCCCCCTCCGTGCCCAGCCACCTGCCCACCTCAGCCCTGCCCAACACCTGGATGCCACTGGGGCCGGACTCTGCCCTCCACATGGCCGGGTATCGGGCTCCCGGGGAACGCGGGCCTGAGAGGGGCTGCTGGTGGCTGCACACCGGGATGTGGCAGGACGGGGGCTCTGCTCGGCCTGAGGCAGCCGTGGTGGCCGACAGCAGGAGGGCGCTCTGTGCCTCAGGCTTGGCCACTACCTTTGCCGAGGTGTAGCCCCTAGAGGGGCTTCTCGACTGACCTTTCCGGCCTGAACACCTTCCCTCCCTCTCCAAGTTTCAGACCTCCAACTCAAACCCAGCCTGGCCAAACCCAATTCCTCCTCTCTGCCTGCCTGGCCCTTCAGTCTCCCTAGGGAAGGCCACCGACCAAGCCCCCACCTGGCTGCTCTGGCCACACCCCCTCAGCCCCAGGCAGCGACCTCCGCTGGCCTTCCTGGTCAGCACCCCTCAATCTGCCCCCCCCCCCCCCCCCCCCCCCCCCCCCCCCCCCCCCCCCCCCCCCCCCCCCCCCCGCCCCC